TAAGCTGAAGTTAGTGAAATGAGTTAATTGAGTACGTTACTGAGCCCTAATGGCCTGATTAAAAGTAAACAAACCAACCAACTTAAGTATGTGCTTAAGGTCTTCTGAATTCAATACAGTTTAAACGTTTTTTTTTAAATCACTGCTTTCCTGAAAAAACAAGGTTTTAAATGAGGATATAGGGTATCAGTCATATATTGGAGTATCTTTTGTGGTATTTCTATTGCCTACTAATTGTGAAGCGCCGAGATTGCAGCTTAATTAGGACAGGCATACAAATATTCTGGTTAATGAACATGTTTTGTTAGTATCGATTCATTAAACAGTGCTTGAATCAGTAGCTAACAGGATAAACAAAAGATTAGAAATACTGATAAATTTGAAATGAGGTAGTAATTATTTTCTAATATTGGTCTATGACAATTAAACTATATTAATTGATATATTTTTACTTTGGGATTGTGATATAGCACTATCTTTGGGTCTTCCTTGAAATCATATGGAAGCTGAAATTGGCACAAAACACAGAAAGGCACTTTTGAGTACCTGAAATCATCAACGCCATGAATGTGAAATCGGCAATGATGTCTTCTATCTTCCTGGACAAGCCTGACTCTATTCTGTGCTGCCTGAAAGTCCTGGGTCATACCAACCTGAATGATCTCTTCTTTACTAGAGCTTTTTTTACGCAGTTACTGTCAGCTGAAGCACCTCAGCTAAATGTAGTAAATGTGAAAGGTCGTAAAGATAGGATGCGGTTTGTGGTATCCCGTACTGCTGGACTTGTATTTCGTAGGGCTAAGATTTGCTGTTCTATGCTTATGTTTTCTAAGGGGAAAAGAGGTGCTTTGAAAACTAGGACTTGAATGCCTGCTACTTTGGAAGCAGTATATAATTTATTTCACCCTGCCTGAAAGAAGTATTGGGTTTATTTTTATTTCACTAGGTTTTTTATTTTAATATATAGTAAAGATACTCAGCGTTCTTTTAAAGGATGTTTTCAGCATGCAATTTTTGTAAAATTAATGAATAAACGTAATTGAATTGTAACTACAATTTTTCGTGTGGTTTAGAAGAATACCTTTGTTCCAGCGTTTGTGGTGGCTGGAATATTACTCGGATAAAACCTTCTCCTGACACTTGAATTTATCCAAGGAAGAAATAGAACCTGGCTTTGAAAGAAACCTGTACCTTGAAATCGATTCTGTGAGGATTCAGTTTCTCTCCTCCAGCCTACAGTTTCTTACTTGTTGTAGAGGCTTCATACCAGATTAGGACAAATGGTCCCACCAGGCATTTATATAGATGAAATATTAGCAGCTGCAGATTCCATTTCTGTTGTGTCTTCTTTCATACAAGCAGTTGAATGGGACAAGAGAAAATATTGCTGAAGCATGCTGTAATCCATCTGTTCTTCACTGGTGGGGGCCCCTTACCTGCATAAGCGGGAGAACCCACCACGTCGCCGCAGTGCCAGCTTCAGTAACTGTAGAACGGGGAAACCTGATGGTATCGTTTCCCTTTGAGCCTCCCTGCTCTAGCAAACAGCTCTGGTTTGTCAGAAAATGTTGTTAATTCAGTTGTAGTGTAGATAATCATTTCATTGTAATGTAAGAATCCATTGTTCGTTAATTATTCCTTTAGGTCTTTCACTGTTGAAATCTGGTCATACTTAGTCTGCTATTACAGAGAAATTAATATTCAACAATTGGGTTTCTGAAAAAACAATGGAGGAGTAAAGGCAATTCTGGATTATAAGAGATTAAACCTTTATCTCAAGGAGGTCTTATTTCAAAATGAAAACCTCCCTTTTCATTATAGCAATTTTCCCATGACTTTTCTGATGTCAGTTTATTTAAATAATTCCTATGTGTGCATTTTTAAGATGCCACCCTTTGTCAAGTCCTCTGTGTTCATGTGCATTAGTCAAACTTAATACCAGACCGTCTTTTCACTTTTGTCTCCCAGAGTCTTTTTTCCCACCTCCAGCCTATTACTGAAGGATACCTTTGCTGCTGAAGGCTACCAAATCATCCTCTCTATCAGTAGGGACCAGCCTTTCTTGCTGGTGAGTCACACTGTTTCTTACAGTGGCAAGAACATGCCCTCCTCAGAGGCAGTAGGTTTGACCTCTACTGATGTAGATTCATAGCTTCTTAGAAGCCCCTGTGTTCTCTGAGTTGTTTCTAGGAAAAAGAACTGCTGTGAGCAGCTTGCAGGAGGGGTGGATTGTTCTGGTGGTCTTTCAGTAATGGCCCCTTGCGCTGCTTTTAGTGCTGTGCAGACAGACAGCTGTAAAACGAACTAGCCGAATAACGGAAAGACATGCAGCAATAAGCTTTTGAATAGTCTGCATTTCCAGGTGGAGATGATCGTCATGTAGAATAGGCTCATCTAGTGCTTTGTGCTTCCAAAAGAAAAAAAAAATATACTTGCTGTCCAATTAAAGGTTATTTAAATGTATCTTACCACTTGTGTTCCTATAACAGAAACCTCTAAACTATGTAACACCAGTGCCGTCTGTATTCACTAATGATGTTGCTGTTTGCTACATGTGTGATTACTTCTTCTAATGCTTTATTTTCTAAGAGACCAGAATGTCCCTGGCAATCATCCAAATTGGTGTTATATTGCAAAACCATTGTAAATATGGGGAAGATGATGTCCTATATATGTCATTGAGATTAGTTTACTTATGGCCTGAAATAAATTTATATTGTTTATTAAGGCTAACAGTGTGCAGGTTAAAAGTTGTCTGAAACAGATTGGTAGATTATTTTACAGAGAAAACATTATGACAAAGTATAGGAAAACCTGACTTGAAGAATATTGCTTGCACAGAACAAATGCTTCCAAGTTAGGAAATAAGAGAGTTAAATCTGCCTTTGTAAGCTTAACTGACCTCTCTAGACATTTCTATTATGACACCTGTTAAATATTATATGACATTTCTTTCACAAAAATTGGGTTTTGTCGTTTAGGTTTTTCAGAAACAGTGATTTCAAGTCTAGTTTCTAGAATGTTATTTCCTATTTATTATAGATTCTTAGTGTCTGTTTCGTCTCTACCCCTAGCTGTTTCCCCTCTAGTCCCATTCCCAACCAGGATATAGTTGTAATAATAAAATACAATAGGTAAACTTAGGAATAGGATATTCACCTAAGTATCCTTGGCTGAGGAATTTGTACAAAGAATTTCTAGCTCTGTGAATTAGTATGTTTAAAGCTTATAACTTTAATGATTCAGGAAATTCATATAAAGAGAATTTTTCCACAGATTAATAAATAGCTAAGGGGAAAGAAAGATGGCTTACTACTTTTGGTGCCAGTGAGCCTGTATGTCAACATTTTTTGATGAGTAGTTTGTTTGTTTTTTCCTAGTGTAAGCTGTTGTCCAGACCTCTAGTTTGACTTTTAAAATTTACAAATCAAAGTTAACTTGAATTAATATTCATTAGTAAAATGAACTGAGCAATATCCTTCTCTAAATCAGATTTTACAACATTTAGGGATTACTTCGGCTGAATTAAAAGCTAACAGTGTCTAATTTCCTGTTTTCTACACATTATTTATATATAAATTTTATATAACACTCTTCAGTGATAATACAGGATAATGATGTAAGAGCAGGAACTAGGCAGAAAAATAAAAACCAGCACTTATTTCAAGAACAGTGTGGACTGAATACTTGCATTAGAAGTCCATCTACATGATATGCGAACTCTGAATTGTGTGAATTCAGGCAATAGTAGTAAAATGAAATAACATCTCATTAAAGTACTTCTTTAGTACAGAAGTGGTGGGGCAGCTTAACAGTACCAGATGTATTTCTATAAAACCTTTCATTCAATTAGATTTACAGTAATTATAGAATTTGTGATTTAATTTATTAGGAAAATTGTCTCTCTCTGTAAATACGTGTTCTTTGTTTGAACATCATACACTTAAAAATTAACAATTGAACCATCTGACCATCAATACTAAAAGGTAGCCCTCATGCCAGCTGCAGTACTTTTGAGCTAAATCTGCACTTCTTTGTTAGCCGGAGTTGTAACTTTTCAATTAAATCCTATCATCTGTAGGAAGCCAAGGCAGCTGTAGAAGAGACAAGAGCTCTGCGAAGTAGGATTCATCTTGCAGAAGCTGCACAAAAGCAGGCTCGTGGAATGGAAATGGACTACGAAGAAGTAATTCGCCTATTAGAAGCTGAAATTGTAGAGCTGAAGGCTCAGCTCACTGATCATTCTGGCCAAAATAAAGTAAGCAAAGCCGTTGCCTGTCGTAGTTACCATGGTTTCCTTGCTGTTGTCATGTGTCTTGTTTTCATTTTCTTTTCATCTGCTTTTCTAAAGTAGGTCACTGTTTGTCTTGTATTATTCAATAACTGGAATGATGCGTAGTGAAGGGGGTAATGTGAAGTGTATGAGTCTTCCTTTACCCAGATATCTTTGGGCTGGAAAAACAGGAGCTGGAAGCATATGTGGGTCATAGGTCAAAATGGCACATCTCAAGCATTAAAGCGTGGAATAGTTTCTGGACTGCAGATGTATTGTCTTTAAGGACTATATGTATATTTGCATGCTTTTGCATGTATGTAAAAATGGCTTTCATATTTATGTTTCTGTTAGGCAAATAATAACAATATAAAGTCCAGTAGTGTTCTTAAGTAAATTTAGATTTAATCAAGATAATAATTTAAATGCTACTAACAGTATCCTGCCAAAAAAACTTTTTTTTTTTAATTAAGCCTCATATTTTAAAACCACTTCCTCTCCAGTGAGGCATTTCAAAACATGCGAAGGAATAAAATATTTGAGGCACTTTTAAATTTTTCCCCATAATTGCAGATTCATTTTCTACACGCAGTTTGAACAAGTGCAAGCAGGTTGACATTTGTGTGTTTACCTTGTTTTTCTCATGAAAAATGGATGTGCATATGAACTGATGAAGAAAACCTACTGAAATGTTGCCTTATTTCATCATGAGAATTAATTCAGTATTACAAGGTATTAAAAGGTAAAACCAAGCTCTATCGTATACAAGCTTGCAAAGAAGCAACATAGCAAGTACATGTAGCTGCCAGGGAGGAATTCCTCTCATCCATGTGTGTGGTGAGATGAATCACACCCTAGAACTTCTTTCTGAACATCTGGGTGAGATGCCCTATCTTTTACGTCAGGTATTTTTGAAGCACTGTTTGTTTTCTAGGACTTGAATAAACATCAAAATTTTAAGAAATTCAGAGCGTGTGGGTTGCTTTCTTAGAGATTTGTTTCTGAGATGCTAGCTTGAATTCCTGAAATTCTGAGTGAGCGCTCAAGTATCTGAGTTGAGATTTGATTCTCTGCATTTATTATTCAAAAGAAGCAGTATCAAGTAGGTACCAACTCTATAGTATACTCTTTTTAGTATAAAAGAATGAGGTCCCTCTGAGAGCTTACCAGCTCCTTCTCCAATAGTGGACAGTGAGATTACCAAAGAAAAGTGTTTTAATTAACAGATTCTTTGACATTCAGAGTGATCACGATTCTGCTGCTTTGTACAGCATATACAAAGGAATTTGTGTACTCGTTTGCTTCAAGTAAAGATGATAAGTTGGTTTTGGTGTTTTTTTTATGAGAGTTTTATCGTAGGTAGTGGGCTTTCAGAAAAGATCACCTACAGTGATGTAGAAGTTTATTTTTAATGATGGTGATATTGTCTTAATTTTGGAGAGTATTTTGTTTTAGATCTTCTGTTCAGCAGACAGCTTAGCTAAACAAACATGCCCATATACATGTGAAGACTTTACTCGTGGTCCTCTCACATGAACAGTGCCAGGGACTCAAGCTGAAACCTTGAGCCTCCAGAACTCGATCTAATGGGGCTCACATTCTCTGTAGCTGAAGTACAGAGGGATGCATAACACTGATCGATAGGTTATACAAGTGCATGTAGAGAAATCCCAGGGGGTAATTTTCTCCAAAATATGCCGTAATTACTCAGCTGGCCAAAGGATGTGCAGATGCAAACTAGTGGACGGAGTTTATTCACATACTGGCTGTTTATGCCACCCTGCTGACAGGTACTGTCACCATCAGGTTGGTATTTTTGATCCATTCATGAATCAGTTCAAACTGTCTTAAGTTTCAGCCCTATCACTGTTGTTAGCTGCCAGTTTCAATTTACCTTTATGTCATTTGCCAAAATCTGTTGCAGTTTGGGAGCTGATTTACTAGCAGATCAGGCATACCTGCCTCAGGAGCAGCTATGTTTTTCAGAAATGTAGAGAAGAGTGCGTGTTAAACACTTCAGGCATCCATTTCGATTCACACCATGTACCTATGTGAGCCATGGGAGAAAATGATTAGAATAAAAGCCTTAAAATATTTTTCCCAGGATGACATCCAAAACTTGAGAAAGAGAGTTACAGTGCTTGACTGCCAGCTGCGGAAATCAGAATCAGCTAGGAAGACCTTTGAGGTGGCTACTGAAAAATTGCTACAATTTGTAGAGGTAACTTGGCCTTTCATTTCTAGGAATATTTTATTTGGAAAAGTTTTGTGTTGATGTTTCTGAGGAATAAGCATAGTAAACTGACTATGAACTAGTTTGCAGAGATCCTTTCATTGCTAGAAATAAAGATGGTGTATAAGTGTACAGATCCATGTAGGAATTTACTTAATCTTTCTGTTTTGCTGCACACTAAACAAATGAAACTGATCAGATAATTTTTGTCACCTAATTTTTCACAAACTCCTATCAATGTCCATTAAATTCCTCAGAGGAAAAAGGCAAAAAAAGTCATATTTGGTAATATTTTGAAATGTTATGAAACAAAAAAAGTGATGTTATATTTATTTCATTTAAAGGGGTTATAATATTTCGTTTTTCACTTTTACACTTCTAGCTGGGAGAGACTAGACTCTTTAATTACAAATCAAATACCCCACACCCAAATAGAACATCAAATTATAAGGTATTAACTTTTTGACTGTGTAGATTTATAAACTGTTAACTTCTTGACAATGGCCAACAGGTCGTGCATGAAGTACTTTCAGATAACTCTACTTCCTCGACAGTTTTAAGGTAATGAAATGGCGTAGTTATTAATATCGAAATGGCAATATTAATACTGAAAAACTCTACTATTGTTTCAAAGTCTCCAAAAACTGTCTTGTAGTTATTTTTCCTATATTTTTTGCTGTACGTTTCTGAGTGTCATTTTATTGGAAGAGAGGGAATGGCATGAATTATAAATTAGGCTTTCAGGATACAGCTTCATTAAAAACCTTAAATTAAAACAGTTAGTAATTACATAGCTACCGTTGTCTGGATGTTTCCATAAATTAATGATAATGTGCTAAGATTTAGTTAAAATTGCAAGGAACTTTAACAGTGGGTTATAATTGTTTTTATTATTATTTTTTAGATTTGCCCAAGCGATTTTGCATCATCATTCATCCAGTGGCATATCTTACAAATAAACACTTACTATTTTTTGTTGTCTTAGTGACAGAAGAACAACATTGTCTACTAAAGCACTTCTTGCACGGTTGGGAAGGATTGGACCTACTGTCACAACAGCTCTTGCAGCAGAAGCCAGAGACCTTGCCAAGTCTGTCCGTGCCATTTTGGAAGTAGATTGTGAGTGAGCGTGTGTGTCTTTGTGTGCGTGTCTGCATGTATACACACGCATAAATACTTCCTTTCTTCCATCAAATGTTGTGGCTTTTGCATCTTGCTTGCTAACTGAGAGTAGCCTGTCTCAGTAGTCCCCATGTGGGGTTTTTTTCCAAATGTGGAAAAGGATCCTGAGTAGAGGTTCTGTTTGGATTGGGTTAGGACTGTGGTATAGGTAAGGGGTCCAGAGTCCAGTGTCTTCCAGAATGGTGGAAGACCTACAAATGCAGGAAAAGGCCTGCTGCTAAGGGCTATCCCCTTTGTTTTTCTAACCCTAACCCTTACCATTATCTGAACTTACCCCACCCACAGTGAGAACCTTCTCCTACAATTGGACTGTTTTCATATGGTGATTTGGCCACTTTTCTGTTGTGTGCTTCACCCAGTAGAATTTGCTCACTGTATTACTTTTTCATTTCGTTCCAAGATTACAGAGCTGCCTTAATTCTGGCTGCTTAAGATTTAGTCAGTACTTCCTAGGACTGATACAGAATGCAGAATGAGGAAAAACTAGTATCTGTCTAGAGTTAGAAGTGGTTTTCCCTATTAATGCCCTTAAAATAGAAAGTACATTTCCTCCTTAACTTTAAGCAGATATCCCAGGATAGTTTATTGCATGCATTTTACCAGATCAAATGGGTGTAATAATAATGATGTTATTTAAGTAAATTGGGTATATTTTCTAATTCACTGAAGGTTGTGGAATAAATAAGACTTTTACAGAAAATATATAGAGTAAACAAAGAACAAAAAAGTAAATAAATCTGTGCAACAAACAGTGTTTTGAATTACAGTGAAATCACAGAATGTTTTTGGATCATAAATATTCTTCCAGGAAATCGGGTATTTCCTTACGTTATTTCTGCTAGCATGTATGTTGTTTTGTTAATTGTCAGTTGAAAATTTCTTCTGTTTCTATTAAGCCAGAGTGGTGTTTTGTTCCTCTTTTACTGTTCTTTTACTAGCTTTTAATAAGAATACGGTGGTTTAATAAAACAAGAAAATATTTATTCTTCTGAGGTTTAACCTGGGAGTAGGTAGACATTTCTGAAAAGACCTAATAATTCAGAGATATACAATACATTTCATCCCATTCTAGAAGGGTGACTGGGCAAGTGATAAGTTCTATGCAAGCTGAAATTAGTCGCCTGTTACAGAGTGCAGTAAAGCCAGTGGATGGTACTGGAGACTTCAGTGATTTGCTGCCACAGATCATTTAGAGATCTCTCAGTGGATTCAGTTTTCCTTTTTACTTTTGTTCTTGTGTTTCCCTTGCCTTTTGCACAGTCTCTTTACTTTCGGTTTCATCAACAGGCTTTTATCTAACAAAGACCTCATGAAAGGAAAAACGAAAGTGTAATATTAACAAGTTATTTTGGTTCTGTTAGTAGCATTCATCACTCTTCCAAAAACAATATTCCTAGGACTTTCTGTAGTTCAAGATCATCTTGATCTAAACATTGGGAGGAAGAAGTCAGAAGTAAGCATCACATGGGACTCTAGAGACTTGGGTTTCATTGTCTCAAAAGACATCACCTGAAACGCATTGGAACTCATTGGTGGGAATATTTCCATTGCCCTTGATGGGCGTTAAACAAAAGCAGTGAATGCAGTCTAAGTCAACAGGATTTTGGAACGTAAGCTTTAATAACTCAGTATCTTAAACCACACAGATGTAGATCCTTCTACCAAGATGCGAAGGACTCATTGGAATGAAAAGGTTTCTCCAAATTCTTAGAAAATCAGAGCATTATTGTTAAGGATTTTTAAATGTGAGTTTTGAAGTCAGGAAAAACCCTTGAGGAAACAAATCCTCCAGAGCTTTTAAATCTGGTATCAGTTCATTAGCAAAGAAGATAGATATTTTTATTTAAAGTTGGATGTGAACTGGCAGAATAAATCATTCATAGCACTGGAGGACAGTGTAGGTTCAGTGTCAGTTCAGTGTGCACCTTCATCAAACTATAATTAGAATATAAAGTTATTCCAGAGTACATTTTTTCCTGGAAAACTTAAGCAGAAAATTAATGAGGAATATGAAGATTTCCAGAATCATGTAAAACTAGCAGAATTTCCTGACTGTAATGCTCTATTTTTCATACCAGAATGTTTACAAAATGTTATTCTGCTGAATTTACATGAACATGTATCACAAAGTGTCCTAGTGAAGAGTTTATTGCTGTAGGAGTGAATGTAGCCTGCAGTTTCGGTTGGAGATACATGTATATCCTCAGGTCATTAACAGAAATCTGTCCCCGTTGGTAAAAATTATGCTAGTTCATGAGCAGTTACTGAAATAAACTGCATGCGGTTGGAAATCTAAGAAACAACTGTGGCTTATTACACGACTCCCAGTTCAGATCGTCAACATGATTGTATATTTTGATCGTATTTACCTATAGTTGAGCAGACATGTCAGTTCTAATCCAGCTTAGATGGATCGATTTGCAAAAATGAAACAGAAATGGCCTGACACATCACAGGAGTTTTTGGAAAGCTGGTGAATTATGGTTGACAATAATCATTGTATCAAAGAGATTTGAATATCCTTTTTACATTGGTTAGGAATGAATGTAGAAAGGGACTGACTATATATATTTGAGGAAGTGTTTCAAGATATGAAAAATGTCTTACTTGACATTATTTATGCAACACTTATTTATTACATCACTCTGTGAAGAAGAAAGCAAAATAAGAATATAAAAAAATTGTTCAGAAGTGTCCAGAATATTAGAATTAGAGTTATTGGTGGAAGTGAAAAGAGTAACAGTGGCCAGGAGAGGAGATAATTGGTTTTCCGCCAGTGACAGTGGTAGAGTTCTGTCACGTTGAGTTGTTTCTATCACACTACACAGGATAGCGTGCAAGAAAACCTTTTCGTTCTAAATGCAACTGAATTCTAACATGTAGTTGTGTCAAACTTAATAGGTAGGATGCATGTTAGAAAGCTCTGGAGCCACGGCAGGGATCCATTTTATGAACCTGAGAGTTGAAAAATAGCTCTGCAGAGAAGGATTTAAAGATTGAACGTCATTCTTCTGAGTTCATTCTGATTTGGAGAGTATTACAGATAGATTTGGGCTCTGACAAGCTTGTGTATGAGATTAGAGCTTTAAACCTTGCTCGCTTTCTCTCTCTCTCTCTCTCAAAAAAAAAAAAAAGTAGTTAAGGCAGAGTAACTATTTAATAGCATTCTGTCTGCGGTCCTCTATGCCAGATTCTCACAAAATGTTTCCCATGTGATCTTCAGTTTCCTTACAGGTGAGCTGTCATAAAAAGGGGGCTCTTGTGTATGTAGCATTTCATAAATAACATACATCAAAGAAAAAAGTGTAATAGACATTACACTGCAGACTGAAGGTTTTCCTTTTTCCTGGAAAGACATCTGCGACGTAATAAGTTGTTAATGAATTCTTAGAGAATTGAAGTTAGTATTTTTGAGATTGCTAAGTGGATAAAAATGTATAGCTGGGCAACCATCGTGATATATTTTACTTTCTAAATAGAACTTCTCTTTCATTATTTGCTTCATTTTGTACAACATGAAGTAAAGGAGCCCTAACCGAAATACCTTTCTGATTCATTTACAATACATGTGAAAAAGTCTAGTGCAAAGACAAGGTTGTGGAGTGTTCTTCCAAAAGAAAACTGCTTCCCTTGTTAAAGATCATCCTTGACAACCAGGTCAAAATGACATATTTATGAATTAGCCACACAAACTGTCCTCTTCCTCTGTAATAGCATGACGTTTTGCCTGAGGGAAGAGGTTTAAAGAAGTTCAATGTATTCCTGTAAATCTCCAAGTACATGTTGCCTTGTGATAATGCTGCAGATCAGTTTTCAGCTTTGTAGGTTGAATGACAGGTATGTGAAGTAAGTTTGGCGATTCTTCAAGTGAGGACTCTGTTTAAAAAAAAAACCCAACTCGTTCTCCAGTGCTTACTACTACAGGATCCTCAAGATCCATAAATGCAAATAAGAAAGTAATAAACAGAATAATCAAGCTCATCCTTCATCTTCTTGAAAGACTGTAAGCTATTTTTAGAAACTTAAGTCTTGAGAGGTCTTTCTGCTTTGTAGAATACAGGCATCTCCTGAAGAAATAAAATTACTTTCATCATACAAAGGATAATAGTGCCTCAGTGAAAGAACTGTAGCATTTAAAAGTAGTTGCTGGCTGCACTTAGTAGACCATATGGCGCAAACCGTGCTGAAAAGCATTTTCTTTTCTATTACAAAATTAGAAAAGGAATACACTTGGTACTGGTAATGGCCAAAATCTGATTAACCCTGGAACATACTTGTCTCTTCATAAAATAGCAGGCAATCAGCATTTTGAAATGTGCACTAGCGTAATGCACCTTTCAAGTATTTTGACTGCTAATTTCCTCACTCTGCCTCTGAAATTTCTATCCAGAAGTGCAGTCTTGCTCTTGCTGATATAATCCCAGTCATCAGAATCCATTAAATGC